GGATGGCAGCTAACAGATTGAGGTTGAATCCTGACAAGACAGAAGTACTGTTTTGGGGGAACAGGGGGGTGGGTGGGGGTGGAGGACTCCCTGGTCCTGAATGGGGCAACTGTGCCTCTGAAGGAGCAGATGCGCAGCCTGGGAGTCATTTTGGACTCACAGCTGTCCATGGAGGTGCAGGTCAATTCTGTGTCCAGGACAGTCTGCCAGCTCCATCTGGTATGCAGACTGAGGTCCTACCTGCCCATGGACTGTCTTGCCAGAGTGGTGCATGCTCTGGTTATCTCCCGCTTAGACTACTGCAATGAGCTCTACATGGAGCTATCTTTGAATGTGACCTGGAAACTACAACTAATCCAGAATGCGGCAGCTAGACTGGTGACTGGGAGTGGCCGCCTAGATCACATAACACTGGTCCTGCAAGACCTACATTGGCTCCCAGTACGTTTCCAGGCACAATTCAATGTGTTTGTAAAAGGTAAAGGTAAAGGACCCCTGACAGTTAAGTCTAGTTGCAAATGACTCTGGGGTTGCAGCGCTCATCTCACTTTACTGGCCGAGGGAGCTGACGTTTGTCCACAGACAGTTTTTCTGGGTCATGTGGCCAGCATGACTAAGCCGCTGCTGGCAAAACCAGAGCAGCGCACGGAAGTGACATTTACCTCCCCCCTGGAGTGGTACCTATTTATCTACTTGCACTTTGATGTTCTTTCAAACTTCTAGGTTGGCAGGAGCTGGGACCAAACTCCTCACAGAATTACCAGAGCAGAAAATTCAAGCAGCTCATCTGTTATTTGTGGCATGGCACACATTAAGGGAAATGACACTTCGTCTGGGTGCTTCAGGTTAAGAAGTTAAGAACAGTTTCAGGTTAAGAATAGACCTCCAGAATGAATTAAGTTCTTAACCTGAGGTACCACTGTATTGGTCTTTTATTTAGCATTGTGTGAAGGCTGCAACATTGTAGCCTCTGATCAATTCGTTTGGAAAATGGATACAAACAGTGAAAGCTCCTTCATGATTATTTTGGCTTTTCTTACTTTCAAGATACTTCTTTACTTTTCATTGGTGGGGAGGTTACCATGTTTCCTTCCCTGGTTAGTTGTTTAGACCTATGTGTTTCGTTGTGGCTTGTTCTAGGGACCGAGTCCTCTGTTAATTAAACAAGTACTGTACACTCTGCATAAAATGCCTGTCCTTAGGCTAGCAAGTGTAAAAAGTAAAACACACACACACACACACACACACACACACACACACACAAACAATGATTGCATCTAGAAGGGTTTGTATTACAGTGATCCACTGGGCACAATTTATTAATGGGAGTGATAACCTTGTAGGTGAATTCATTGTGCTGTTGCAAACAAAACTGCACAAGCACTACTGGAAAACATACCGTAACAGCGCTGAATCTCATTGAGTGTGAGGGATGGAGGGAGAATTTGGTCCACTCTTCACAGCAGGCCTTCCCAATTCAATGTTTCCGAACTTGCTTGTAGATTGGAATGCAGCTATTAGTTGGATAATGCACTTCTCCATGTTTTGGCATGTAGTTTTAGTCCCATATGCAAAAATAATTTCATGTACAAACTGCATATTTTAAGGGACCCCTCATCTCTCTCTTGGCAAAGGACACCCCACAGATTGACCCAGGCAGTTTTTTCCACCATCTCAAAAAAAAAAGAAAGAAAAAAAAAGACGATGAAAGGGAAGGGAAAATCTTTTCATGCTTGATGAAAGCATCAGCAGATGCATCTTCTCCCTTTCAGCTTAGCCCTACAAATTGCTAAACTGAGCTGTATGCGGACAAGTTAAAAATAGCACAGTAAAGTGCATGCAGTACCGCTGGTATATTGATGGAGAGGTTCCCCCCTCCTTCTTATCACTATTGTTTTCCAAACGCCTTCCTCTTCTAACCCCTAATTATTACTTGGGATGGCTGGAACTTCAATAAGAACACAGTGCATGGCAAACAATAGACTGAAACACACGTTGAAAAGCAACCAGATAGTGTAAAATGATTACAGCCTCCATAATCATAGGTTTTCAGACAAGAAAGGTTTAAATCCATGCTACTTTTTTAAAGTCAGCAAACCATTTGACATTTAAAAAAAAAAAGTTTTAGACTGCTACAAGAATATTATCCTCATACAGCAAGAGTATTTTCTTCAGATTTGAGTCTTGCTCTTCTGAATCCCACTTTAACTGAAATCCTTTTGTCGGGTGTCATCCAACACACTTTGGTGCATATGACAGGACTTCCCATTCTCTTTCTCCATCCTGCTGCCCCCCCCGGCAGTTGTTGTTGTTGTTTAGTCATTTAGTCGTTTAGTTGTGTCCGACTCTTCGTGACCCCATGGACCAGAGCACGCCAGACACTTCTGTCTTCCACTGCCTCCCGCAGTTTGGTCAAACTCATGCTGGTAGCTTCGAGAACACTATCCAACCATCTCGTCCTCTGTCATCTCCTTCTCCTTGTGCCCTCCATCTTTCCCAACATCAGGGTCTTTTCCAGGGAGTCTTCTCTTCTCATGAGGTGGCCAAAGTATTGGAGCCTCAGCTTCACGATCTGTCCTTCCAGTGAGCACTCAGGGCTGATTTCCTTAAGAATGGATAGGTTTGATTTTTTTGCAGTCCATGGGGACTCTCAAGAGTCTCCTCCAGCACCATAATTCAAAAGCATCAATTCTTCGGCGATCAGCCTTCTTTATGGTCCAGCTCTCACTTCCATACATCACTACTGGGAAAACCATGGCTTTAACTATATGGACCTTTGTTGGCAGGGTGATGTCTCTGCTTTTTAAGATGCTGTCTAGGTTTGTCACTGCTTTTCTCCCAAGAAGCAGGCGTCTTTTAATTTCGTGACTGCTGTCACCATCTGCAGTGATCATGGAGCCCAAGAAAGTAAAATCTCTCACTGCCTCCATTTCTTCCCCTTCTATTTGCCCAGTGGCCATGATCTTCATTTTTTTTATGTTGAGCTTCAGACCATATTTTGCGCTCTCCTCTTTCACCCTCATTAAAAGGTTCTTTAATTCCTCCTCACTTTCCTCCTCACCCCCGGCAGTATCAAGGGACAAATTTGAGCAAGCAAAAGAGGCTTGCCTAGAGCTGCAACATTGCTCTCCCAGTGACACCACTGTTTCTTACCAAGAGGGGTGAGATGGTGGAGAGGTTGGCACTGTGCAGGTGCACCAGCAGAACCAGTCCAGTGCTCCTGCCAGTGCACCCACACAGCTCTGACCTCACTGCCAGCTGCCCCTCCCCCTCCCAGTATGCGGCAGTGACACTGCTGCCTGGAAACTAGCATTTTGCTTCCCCCCATTGCTTCCACTTGCTTTTATGAGCAAGTGACAATTCATGAATTTGGGTTTTATTGCATTTGGAAGATTATGATTTAGCCTTTATTTCAGTTCAGCATTGGACGTTACTAAGAATGTACTAAACGCGTCATCTTTCCAGTCCTAAATTCAGCTCACCTCATTTCTGCATCAGTTTTGCAAACTGCGACTGGACTTAACTGTCAGGGGTCCTTTACCTTTATACCCTTTAGTTCTTAAAAAGCAAAAAAAAAAGCTAGCATAAAAATTTGTACCCATTTTTGTATGTTGTTTTCCCTAGTATGTGTGAGTTTGTATATGCTTTTCCATATTGATATGTGCTTTTTTAATACATTTTTTGCGGGTGGAGAGATACATCACAAATTCGTAGAAGTGTGAATTTTGAAGGCTAGCTGTGTTTCATTGCATGCATTGGTCTAGGGAAATCAAATTAGGTAGATTCACATTCAAAGGCCAGTTGAACAGATTGCTTCCCCATCCCTAGAGGCAGTGCCTTTTTTCTAGAAAAACAGGTACCAATACTCACCATAAAGTTGTTACAGTAAGCGTCACACTTTTTAACATCAACAAAAAGAGGTGCTGGTACTGCATACCCTTAAGTACGCCTGGGGGGGGGACTTCCTAGAGGTAACACCAAAACTTCCCAGAAAAAGTGCAGATGCATTTGTGCAATGGTTGAGGAAGGGGGCTGGTTCACATGTAAAAGTTTGAGATGGTTGAGTTAAAGCATATTTATGTCTGTCTACATATGTTGTGGCTGGGAAGGAAAATAAATAAACCATAAATTTGTTTGGATTTTTCATCTTCCTTGAATACCATTACTAGATAAACTTTGGGCCATCTATAGTGATGAACAAAGATACCACTGAGAGGTAGCTTTGTGCCACACACCAGCTGAGTCTTTCCTGGATTTCTATGCCTTATACAGATTCCGTTGAGCAGCTAACGACAGACCTCTGCTTTGTCTAATATTGTTGTGGTTCCTGATCAGCATAAATCCCCCAGTCTCTTTCTCTCTTCATACCACATGCATATATGAAAAAGTTAATCTATGTTTTGTTAATCATGGTAATAAATGTATTATTTTAGTGATTAACTGCACCCTACCAGGATTCACAGCAAATTGTGCTGCATTAAGTTTAAAAAATCATCTGTATGTATTCATGTAGACTCATTTCAATCTGGCTTCAAGACAGGAAACAGCCAGGATTCAGAAACTGCCTTGGTCACCTTGGTTGATTACCTTTACCAGAAGAGCAGCAGTGGGGGTACAACTTGCCCTCTTTGTGGCTTTTGCCCATGATATCCTCCTGGATGGTTTTGAGGGTTAGGGATTGATGGCACTATGTTCTGGTCCTCCTTCCAAGGCTGATTTCAGAGAGAAGAAATATGGGACTATGGCTCTGCATCTTGGGAGCTAACTTGCAGGGTTTTCCAGGAGCTGCTCTTGTCCCCTGTGCTCACTTACATTTGTATTGGGGCAGGCAACCTTTTTGGCTACACAGGTCAGATACGTATCAGGATGTAGCCTTGTGGGCCAAATTTGACAGATGGGCAGAAAGAGATGCACATGCTCCTTAAAGCCAGCAGTACAGTGCAGTGCATTGGGGAGAGCACAGAGAAGGGGGGTGGCTACTGTATTGTGTCAGTGGAAGTGAGGCTAAATGTCTTCTGGAATAATTTTTTATTCAAGCTGACATGTGGTACCTAGGGATAGCCAAACTCTATGGATGGGACAAACCAGGAGTCCAATACATACATTGAAATGAGAGTCTAAACATAAATTCTGGGTAGATGCCACAACTGTATCTGGGATTTCAGTGACAGTAACTTTAAGGCACAGTATCTGTGTAGTTAAGGTGCTTTTAAAAAGTTTTTTTCTTCACCTTTAGGTGTCCATATGCACTTGCCCCAATTGGGTATCACCTTTCATTGCTTCCGATAATTAAATCAAGCCATTCTGTAAATTGGTTTTCATATATAATCATAAGCAGATGGTTCTGTGGTCCTTACATTAAATGAGTACTTAAAGAAAATAATGTGCAGCAGAGCTCTTGTATAATTTTTGGTTTCAGTGCATCCTGTCAATCTGGTGCTGATTCCAAAATTGTCTTCCTGCAGCATCTATTCAGTTCCATATTGGATGTCCTGTTCAACTTCCTCAAGGAAAGTGATTAATTTTTTTAAAAAGACATTGTGGAGAGAACATCATGGTTTCATAATCCATGGTTCTTTCCCCTCCACTAACATTGTCATCTTTAAGAAACAGATTTTGAACCTTGAGGGCCACCCACACCAACAGTACAGTACAGGAGACTTCAAGAAGGAGATGGGAGTGTTTATTTTTCTGGCTTGGAAAATGTAATGCTCCACGAAATGCCTCACATATAAATTGACTGTGTTCATTTAAACTAGGCTCTGGTATTTACTAGCCTTCCCTCTCTCCTCAAATGAGAATTAGATTTGCCAGATGTTGCTGATCATAAAGAATATTCTTTTCTTCTCCCTGTAATGGAAATGTTCCTTGTTATTTCAGAACAGAGAAGTGGCATAGAACTCCACAGACCAAACCACAGCTCCATAATATAACTTTACCCTTATTTTTGAAATTCAGTGTTAACAGTGCCATGTGGACAACATTTTCTTTTAATGCTGTATTAGCATTCCTGCTTAGGTACATTTTTCTTGATCAAAGGCTTCATTTTTATTAAAATGCTGACATCTTCTTTTTCATACTCTTGGAAGGGAAGAAGATGTGATACAGCGGGTTTCCATGACTGGAAATTGCAGCTACAATCATAACACAAGCTTTACAAGTAGGCATCTTTATGCAGCAAGAGAAAGCGTAAATGGATGCATGAAATAGATCCTAATTGCATAACTCGCAATTACAGCCTTGACTGAACATTTAGAAGTGCTATTAATTGTGGTCCAGAACACTTGTTCCTTTCACAGGGATGGGAATGTTTCTTCATCACTGTTTTATCCCAGTCTCCCTCCAAGGGTGGAATTTCTCTTCACAACAATCGTATGAGCTAGGATTGGCAAAGTGGCCATGATCTGCCCAGTGGCTGACTGGACATTTAAATCCAGGTCCTCCTGATCCAAGCCCAGCACACTGTCCATTATATCACATTCCATCTCATGTGGGATGTTAATAGGTTCTGCGCTTGGGTTCACTTTACACTTTGCTCTACTATCAGAAGCCCTACCTGTTAGCTATATTCACATTCTGCTGTCAGGGATTGCGGAGGACTAGCTCCAATTTATTTTATGTGTTAAGACATTCATAAACCACCTTTCATATAAAAAAACAAGGTGGTTTACAGGATAAAATCAATACAATAAAAGAGGAAATGCCACCAATATCCAATAGAAGTGGTGTTAAAAACAGGGTTTGGGAATGCCGTTGCAAGAAGATTAATCAATGTTTTAATCAATTGGTGGAATATCTTTAGTGGAGATGCCTGATGTATCTGTAAGCAGGGAGTAGGCACTGCATAGGAGCGCCCTTGAGTAGTAACCAGATGATCTCAGTAAACTGGCTGGATTGTGCAAAACAAGACACTCACTTAGCCTGACCCTAAGCAGTTTAGGACCTTAGAAGACCTTAAATTTACCTTGCTAGAGAACAGTCACTCAGTGCAATTCCTTTAGCACAGGTGTCATATGTGCACAGTAAGATGCACCATTGAGCATCCTAGCACATTTTGCACTAACCACAACTTTTGAAGGGCATCTTCACATAAAGCACATTCTCTCTGTTCCTTATCAACGCTGCTCTGGCTGTTTGTTGTCTGGCTTCTTGCTAAAAAATTGGCCCACTCCATTCCCTGGACAAGAAATCAGTATGCAGACAAGTGGCACCTGTAACAAGATGTTGCAGTTTATCCTCACCTCCTAGCAGTAATGCTTTTGTTTCAGAGTTCTAGCCAATCAGCCAGTGCTGCCCTCCTTGGGATGTTATGTTATAAGCTGTGGTGGGTTAACCAGAAGAATGTCTGAGATGAAAGAGTTTATTAATTCAGGCACATGGCACAGATAACAGTAGACAAGGGTTAGGGGTGTTATATGTTAAGACCTCACAAAGACCAAAGTTGGGCTGGGGGGTGGTAGGTTGAGGGCTCAGATCTTCAGAAGAGTCTCCCCAGCAATGCCATAGCCTTCTCTACAGCTGTTCAAGATTTCAAATATTGGTTTAGCTGAATGTCATTTTCCCCAGCAGCTGAATGTTATGGCCAGCATGATGTTGTGCTGCGGCTTTAAAACCCATTTAGTCAAAGAAACAAGACACCTGAGTAGCAGCCAAAACCACCAGAGCTGTCAAAGGCTAAATTCTCTCTCTGTTGCTTTACACCATGTAGCCAGCTCTGATGTGAACTGTGAAGACAGGTGTCATGTCACATTAATTATAGAGCAACTGGGCTGCCTTCTACAAATACTATTGTAATGCTGAATAGACGTTCGCAGAGATTCAGGGGTGATTGTAGCAAGGGAAAGTGAGGTCTGGGGTCAGTTGCAAGTTCAGTCCTTAAGCAACCCGGGCTGTTTTGTTCAGACCTTGGAGAACTGGCTGTGTGTTTTGTTTTATTTGACATTTCTTTTGCTTATTCATTTGAAAATAATTCTGTGCCACCTTTCCTCCAAAATTTCACACCAGTATCCAGTAGTAGTAGCAGCAGCACTAACAGTATGCAGAAGTGATGGGGCCTACTGATCCATCATACTTTTGTTCACCCTGAGGAGAATATAATCATTGAGTCAGATAAGCCTTTCTCTTCCTGCTTGACCCTTTAGGCCAGCTTTCAGATAGTGATCTGGCCCTTAGAGATTGATGTGCAATCTGGTTTTTATGGTTTCTAGCTGTACTACTCTTTTGTTATATCATGCCTTAATTTTCTGTAGCTCCTATTTTCAGCACCATTGAATGCTTAGGATCAATTATCTCACTTTGAAAGAGAGAAAATGAACATAAGTTTTCTATTCTTCTAGCTCTCAGGAACAGAAATTAGATAAGAACTTTACAAAGAACAGGAGTAAAATATTTTATTTTATTTTTTCACCACAAGACTATGATGAGATTTTTCTGGTGCTGTTCAAATGATTCCTACAGATGCCCATTAATTTATTAGGAAGCTTTCACTGGCCAGCCACATGCCTGAGGGAAGCCTAAAAGCAGGACATGAGCACAATGTAATTCTTCTGCCTTTGTGCAGCAACTTACCGGTATATTCCGAACCACCTTGCCTTTGATTCAGGAGTGAATCTACTGCTGTCATGACTAATAGCCATGGTTTGCCTTAGCCATCATGAATTTGGTTAAGCCCCTTTTAAAGCCACCTGAGTAAGTAGCCGTCGCCACATATCATGGGAAGCTAGTCATTTGTCATTGCTTATGCATTGAGGAGAATTTTACCACACATCTACACCAACGACAACAGGAGTGGTGACATTTGTACCACATGGGATGATACTTCAGATAGATAGCTTCCTACCTGGTTTGTGAGCTCCCTATATCTTTTTATTGCCAAAACATCCTGGGCATGTGCTGAATGTACATGATGCAGGCGCTTTGCTGAAGTAAAGCTCGTTTAGGCCCAAATATGGTAAACCTATTTATGTCTGTGTCCTTTGGCCTTTTGACTAATTAAACAATGTATACCCTTTTAAATTGAGATGGGGTAGGTATTGTGTTTGTTTGTTACTACATTTTTGTGTTTTGATACTGTATTGTAAACTGCCTGTAAGCCTTAGATAAAGGGTGGTATAGAAATAATAATAATAATAATAATAATAATAATAAGCAGGAGGAAAGGCAGGATATAAATGGTTTTTGTATTTTTTTCAAATTAAGACTAAAATAGTTATTAGTTATTTCACAGAAGAAGACCGGGTCATAATCTGAACAGCCTCAGTTTCTGTTCAGTGAAACAAAGCAGTAATGTTTCCATTTCACAAGAATATCGTTTTGGAAGTATACTTTTTTTGTTAAGGCATGTGCTCAGATCACAATAAATACAGGTCTCATGGATGTGAGAAATGTGAGTGAAAGAAAGGAGAGCAAAACTTTATTTAAACTGACATCGTGTCTTCAATGATGTCACATGGAATTTCAGGAGGCAACATGTTGTGTTTCCTTGGGGAGCTGTAACAATGAATTGGCAAGGGTAAAGATACCTCCACTGTGGAACAGAAACAGATTACTTCGAATCAAAGCGAAGAGAAATTGATGGATATTCCAGCCACCCAAAAGGTATATCTTACAGGCTCTTTCTATTTTTATACCATCTGGTAGGATCATTGCTGCTTGATATTAATGAAGCTTTCCCTCTGTGTTATGATGGTTCAAAGCATATACCTCCTTGTCAATATATATCTTGCATAGCCCTGCAGAGACAGATATCAAATTTATCTGCTTCAGGAGTTTCCACTTCATAAGCAGAAATGTTGTATGAATAGAAAGCAAACCCACTACTTTTTAAGTGTAAATTGGACTAAGAGCGGTTCAGCATATAAATGAACAGTATTGTAATCTGCCTGTGTTCTGAGATAATATATTGGGATAATAATTGTTTAAATGCAGAAACAAGTGCTTTCTATTTATTTTTTTTATTTTGATAGCATTTACCAAATTGCAAAGTCATATCAAGACACTTCAAAATAAAGTAAATCAGCCTCTAAATATTCTTAATGGAATATTGAAACCTGCATATATTCTTTGATACAGATGAAGTGTAAAACACCTTCTCTATCACACATCTACTCACCCTGTTCACGACACTATACACTATACACATGTTCACACATTACTTATATGTCACATTCACCCCAGTCTTCTATACATGCAACATTCATGCTTGGACCTATGCTTTCTAGGCATGGTGCGACAGAAGTGTGGATGAGTCATCAGTCAGAAGCTCCAAAGCATTAAAATATACAGTGGTACCTCAGTTTACAAACTTAATCTGTTCCGGAAGTCTGTTCTGAAACCAAAACCCTTTCTAAACTGAGGCACGCTTTCCCTAATGGGGCCTCCCACCACCGGTGCCCTTCCACTGTTCAGATTCCGTTCTTAGACTGAGGTAAAGTTCTCAAACCAAGACACTATTTCTGGTTTTGCGGAGTTTGTAAACCAAATCGTTCTTAAACCGGACTGTTCTTAAACCAAGGTACCATTGTAGTAGCCTGTGTTTACCTCAGCATTTGTTTGTTTGTTTTTAAACAGTTTTCTTTTTTTAGGAGATGGGGGAATATCAGGTCAGCACAACTGCTACTTTCCTGCAGATCTGTGTTTTAGGTTGATATCTTATTTGTCTCTCTACATACCCAGCAAGCGCCCTGAAGGCTAGGTGATATGCATTCCAGTGCATATTCAAGTTGCAAAGAAAGGACTTCCCATGTGAACTGAAACTGACTTGTTTCAAGATAATGTCTGGAGGTGCCTTTTGTCAGTTTCACTGCAATTGGATTGCAGCTTCCAAAGCCTTGAGGCAGAGTCTGAATACTCCTTCCTTGGGATTTGTGCGTGTGCTGAAACTGACAAATGACTTCTCCAGAATTTGTCTCAAGACTATAGCATTCTTCATGCGCTACTATGAATGTACACAGAGGAAGCAGTGGGACTGTGTCCATTATCGTTGCAACTGAATCATAGATGTATATAACATAACTTCTGAAACAGCTATGCACGTTCAAAGTATAGGAACATAGAATATTTGCCTGCAGTTGGGAACCCTGTAATCTGTATGTTCCTAAGATCGTTCAGAATTCATATGTAGGATGTGAAAGTAAGGACAGCAGATGCAAAACCATGGTTCCCTCAATACACATTTATTGTAATGTAGAAAGAAAGTGTATGTTCACCTGAATGGACCTGCTCAAGTTAAGGCTAAAGGTCACCACCTGGCATTCACCAGCACGATCCTGAATGCCACAGGCAGATCACTATTCTTGGCACTTGTGGCAGGTCACCACCAATGATTGTCTTTTCTGGTGGTAGCTGCCATTTTGCCCTCCTCCTTGAATACCCAGATGTTGCCTCATTTCAGGGAATTATTGGGGCAGCCACTATTGGTGGAACCTCACCCCCCCAATTCCCAGAATGATGCTATTTCTGGGAGAAATGGCACCACTGATAGATGCTCTGCTGCTCTCACACCAGTGAATCCCTTCCACTGGCCAACTGTCCCTCACTTCTGTCATTTGTTTCAGTCTGGCGTTTCAGTCTGTATGGTGTTCATCGTCTTCAGAGGCACTCATCTGGAGAGAGGCGAGTGGTGAGAGGGGTGCTGTCTTTCTTGTTTGTGGTATGCTCCCCCCCCCCCAGAAGCTCAACTGCTTCCAACTATGATCTCTTTTCTGTGCCAGGCAATTCAGCAATGTGTTATATAGCATGTTGGTGGTGTTTGTTATGGCTTGGTGGATTTTATGGATTTGCTGATTTTACTGGTACTTGGCTGTTGCTTTGTGATTAGTATTGATTTTATATGGTGTTTTACTGTATTGCTTTTATTGGACACTGCCCTGGGGGTCTTGGACTGAAGGCTGGCCTGTGTGTTTATCAAATAAACAAATGTTTAAATGCAGAGGTTTTGCTTGTTGTTTTTTAATTTATTTATGCATTTTACGTATCTTAGTACCTCAATTATACAATTGTCATTGTTTATCTTACACTCTACTTTCCACACACATCCGTCTGTGGGGTCTTATTTAAGCTGCATCTCCTTAATTACCACGCCTCTTCTGCTTATTTTTAACTGCTGCTCATATATCTAACCCCACTTGGAAGTTTATCTGATTGTGATATTTCTTTAAATATTCGCCAAAGTATTCCTACTCTTCTTTTATATCCGACTCATCCTGATTTCTTATCTTTGCAGTCAACATTGCTAGCTCCACATATTCTATTAGCTTCTTCTGTCAGTCTACTTTTGTAGGACCATTTTTGTCCTTCTACCTTTGGGCATAAATTATTCTGGCCGTTGTTATTGCGTAAAGGAAAAGACGAAGTACTTTCTTGGGTATTTCCCCCTTTAATATACTCAATAAGAACATCTCTTGTTTCTTTAAACCCAAATGGCTGACTAAGTTTTAGGGTGGTGGTGTTTTTTAACTGAATCATTGAGAACATCTTCTTTAGGTTCATTACCAGCTCATGCATCACGCTGAAGAACAGGCTGAGTATTCAGCAAACACATGAGTCTGTTATTGCCCACTTTCCTTGGCTCGGTGTCAGTGATCGCTGTAAGAAAGTTTCATTGGTCCAAAGAATGTGTAAAATGGCTTGGAAAGTTGCCTGCATATATCTTTCCCTCCCTCTTCCTCTCCCCTTCACCCACCCTTCCCCCTTTTGAGGATGGCATTCAAAATTGCAAGCTTTGCTCTCTTTTTCTTAGCTCTGAAAAGCATGGCCTTATTGCTGAGACCTTGTCTCTCACATTGTGTTCCCCTGTTAATGGTGATTTTATTAGCCCCTCTTCTTTCTTTCCATCTCTGGCAGCACACAAAATGACATAGCATCCAGGGCACCTTTCCAGGCTCTGAAGTTTTACAAGCAATACACAGTGGAAACATTTACAAATCTTTTCCAAAGCACATACACTACATGGGGGTGAGGGCTCCGTTATTCAATACTGATAGCTGTTATTTGGATTACCGTAGCTTTTCAGTTTCTTGAACTTCTAAGGTGCAGATGAAAAATTTGTGAGTCTTCATGGTTTTTTTTTAAGAAACTGAAGTAACCCAGAGATGGCAATGATAGTGGAATCCGTGTTCTTCAGACTGCTTAATATTAGCAAGTTAAGAGTTTTCAATGTGATCAGATTCCTTCTATTGTTGGTTTGCCCTACCTGATTGCTAAATTGTTAAAATCACTGGATCCCTTGAGTTTATGATGTTGGCTGAGATCTCAACTTGCTTAATCTCTTAATCGTTTGCACTAGTAAATCACAACTTTGTTGGGGAGAGCATACCCTTCATATAGTCTATGTTCAGCAAACACAGTATCATTTTCAGACTATACACACCTGAATGGTGCCTGTAAATAGAAGTGCCAGTCTTTACCCATCTTGAAGGGCCAAGTATATGTTTCTGCTTTTTACATGTGGTTAACGTATATTAATAGCTCAAAAGGATGGTTTTATGGCTTTTTTCAGTATGGTTTTTAAAAACTGTATTTAAACTGTTGACTTGAACTTGGGCTGATCTGATTGTTTTTGTAATAGTTAAGAGTGTGGTTAGAACTATTTTAATGTTCATATATTTTATAGTGGTGTGTTTTATGACACTAATCATAGGGTTTCCATACCTTGGAAAAGGAAATAGAAAGGATTTTATTTCTTCTTTAAATTATGGGTCAAAAAGTTTGCTGAGTCAAAAAGTTTATACCTAGAAGTATCTAATCTCTGGTTAGGAAGATTTCTGGCTTGGATATATTTCTTACGTTAATTAATTAGTTCCTGTGTACAAAATCTCTTCTTACCAGAATACTCTTAAAAAATCTGGCGTTTGATATCTGCCCAAGTGCCAGTGACCACCATGTTATTTTTCATTCTGAGTACTATAATTAAAGACTCCTTAGAGTTCCATTTATTGAATGGCAGTGCACACAGAAGAGCAACGCTCCAAAATAGCAGTCTTTTAAACAACATTTGCCTAGAGCTAA